CTTCTGCCGACAAAAAAAATCGCACAGATGCAGGTCTGAAGCCCAAAAGAAAAAACCCCGATACGAGTAACAACTACCTAACAAAAGAGCTCAATACAATCGTAGAGCAGACCTAGATACACCTAGTGAGCCAGACAAACCTACCTAGGTTTCACCTAAACGGACCTTTCCTGACGATCCGTTTAGGTGAAACCTAGGAAGGTTTGTCTGGCTCACTATTATATATATATATATATATATATATATATATATATATATATATATATATATATATATATATATATATATATATATATATCCTTTTGGCGTAAGTAAAACGTTGTTCATTGCTAAATTACAGTGCTATGAAATATATTGATTTTCTAAGCCCGGCTTAGATGTGGCACAAGACCGAAAAGTATGGGGTACCCAGTGAGAATCGAACTCATTACTCAGTTGTAATTGATCTAGCAAGACAAGCTTTCTAACCATTTATTGCACATACCCAACGCTGAAGAAGCGAGTTAGTGAGTACCTGTTTACAGAGAAATAAATTTCAAGCTGGCCCAGAATAATATAGTTTTCACAGTGTCAGGTGCCACAATTAATAGTTTTAATGTTGTTATTATTATTATGTTATTATTCTATTATTTATTTTTACTATATAACCATTAATATTATTTTTATTCTCATCTTATATGTAGTCTTACTATATTAATTTTACTACTATTATTTTTAGTCTATTATTAATATTAATTTTATTATGGTTTTACTACTGCATTTTATTAATTTATCGTTAACTATTTTTTCAGCAAATGAGTTATCCTCTTGATCTCCAAACGGATTTTAATACTAGCTTCCTTTTTTCACGAAAATCTTTAATGAAATCAGAATTTCTAATTATTATTTTCAATCCTAAATGTATGTTTGAACCAAAGTTCAAATTCAAATTATAGAGCAATTAAATATTTAACAACTGTAATAATTCGTTCAAACAACAACATATCTCTCAAGATCTAGAAATATTGATATCGGCGTGGGCTATTATGCATATATATATATATATATATATATATATATATATATGTGTGTGTGTGTGTATATATAGTCATACACAGATAGACATTTTCGCTGTATCACAGCACGTCAATGTAGCTAGACGTCCGATTGCTTCAATCCAGGATTTAAACTCGACTGATTTGCGCTCAGTCACATCTCTTACCTCTAGACCATCGTCGCACAGTGAAGGAATGGGATTTTAACGTTTTTCTCTATACGCCAGTAGTTTATAGAACTCAATTCAATTTTACTGGAAGTGTAGTGTGTGTGTGTGTGTGTGTGTGTGTGTGTGTGTGTGTGTGTGTGTGTTTTTCTGGAATCATCTGGACATAGTATGTTTATCTTTACTTTAATCAGCTCAAATTCACGGATCAATTTCTTAAAGTTATTAAATTTAAAGGCGCCGGAGTGTTTTTCAGTTCTTTTATTTTCCCAAGTACTTTCAATCTCTTTCAAAAATCGACTTCAGTGGTGAATTGCTAAGACAGAATTAATGTAATTGATAGATGTGATTTTTTTGTAAATGCGCATGAAACGCGCTCTGTTATAATTATAAACACCTATGAACGCGTAGTTATACATAAATTAAAAATTAATCGCTAAAATTATTATGTTATATAAGGGAGGTTACTTATACGATTTTAATATTTTTTCACAATTCACAACAATTATCAAATTCCCAACTATCATATTCAAAACTATCAATCATATGTATATAAAGGTATGCATTTACCTGTATACATGAATTTACATTTATGTTTCAATACAGTAGCAATGGATAGCGGCTCGAATTGAGGAATCGGAGAGCCAAGTTCGAATTCCAGTCGAGTCCATTACATTCACTTACGTGCTAATACCCTTGGAAAAGGTATGAATCCTCTTCTCCTCCCTCCAGCTATGGGTAAAAAGCAGGACAGACCAGGTTCTATAGCCTTGGATGGCAACTGGTTTAGGAGAAGGACAACTCTGAATACAAAACCTGCAGTAGGTCGTTTGGGGACCTTGTGGCACATAGTGCACCATGTATCTGTATTCGGCCCTTCAAAATGTGTCGAGGGTTCTGCACAAAAAAAAAAAAAAATTAGATAAACCTCTAATCAAACCATATGTGCTGGTGTCTGGATGTCAGTTTTAATGTTTAAAAAAAATCATTCAGTATTATTATTGTTTAGGTAATAAGCATTATAACACATCACAAATAGGGTGCAGTAATAGATAGCGGCTCAGATTGAGGAATCGGGGAGCCGAGTTCGAATTCCAGTCGGATCTATTACATTCATTTACCCGCTAATACCGTTGGGGAAGGTAAGAATCCTCCTCTTTATTCCCCATCTATGAGTAAATAACAGGACAGAGTGGGTTTCTATAGCTTTTTGGCGAGGTAAGCGATCTAGGAGAAGGAAAACTCTGAATTAATAACCCAACAGGTTGTTACCCAAAAATTCTATTACTTGTATATCGTTGCTTGACCCATCTAATGGTCTGCGATGGGGCAGTTCGAGGAAAGGAAAGTCTATTACTTATATATATATATATATATATATATATATATATATATATATATATATATATATATATATGTGTGTGTGTGTGTGTGTACGTGTGTGTACATGAATCACTCGTTTAATAGGGATTCGATTAATTAAAATTTACACAAATGGGTAACTATTTTTCATCAAGTATTACGTTATCTAATAATTACAATAGTGTTAAAAAATGTCGGTTGCACTGTAGAATAACAATACAATAAACGACACTTACCGGCGTAAGAGTTCCAGCTAGCGTCCAGCTGGCAGACAAAAATAAAGCAGGTTGTAACTTAATACAAACCCTGCAAACTAACTGAAATTAAGCTGGTATTTATATAGAAATACTTCCACTCAGGTACCAGCAGCCAATCAAAGCCCAAGCAATGGACTATCCCACTTTAGCATAATGAGATGCTCCATTGCACCATAAATAACTCTCTTCCTCAATGTTGAATCATTCTTCACTCAGCTTGCTCCACAACTGAGTATTTATCTTGACCACGTGATTGTTCGACACGTGATAGATAAATGTTTTAATATAAGCCGATAAATGTTTACGTACGGATTTTTGATTTTGATTTTTTCATGTTTATTTGCAATTAAATTTTTTGTTGAATAAATAATGGTCGATTTGCAGAAAGTTACATCTATTAGAAATATCGGATTATAAAAGATGTATGCATTTCATATGGAAAGACAATAAATGCAATTTTCAAATTAAAATACTAATAATTATGATATGCTGTGAAAATTGGAAAGGGACATTTCTCTGTAGCGCCAGATAAAAGAAAAAATAAAACCACTCTAAATATTTTTTTAAATAAAATATCAGATAATAAATATTAATTAATAATATTTGGTTGTATCTATTTGTATCTATATTTTAATTAAAAAGAACGCAATTTAGAAATTAATTGTGAATGGAAATAAAATTTGAGGGCAAGGAGTCGATTAATGTGTTTTCCATTTGTGTGTATCATTCAATATACATGTTAGCCATACTATTTGAAGGATTTCTGTACATATATATATATATATATATATATATATATATATATATATATATATATATATATAAGTGAATATTGAAGTCGGCCTGACGATTGCGTCCAGCAGGAAACAGCCTCTCGCCTCTAAGTGTTGACGTCAATGTTCACTTTTTTATTTGTACGTTCTATCTCTGATATTGAGCATTATTATCCCATAAATATAGCACACATTAAAACTATATTTTTTTTCATATATATATATATATGTATATATATATATGCTCTTAAGATGTGCTATATTCATGGAATAAAGTGCTCAATATCAGAGATAGAGCGTGTGTAAATATAAAAGTGAACATTGAAGTCAACACTGAAGTCAACACTTAGAGGCGAGAGTCTGCTTCATGCTAGATGCATTCGTCAGGACACTTATATATATATATATATATATATATATATATATATATGTCTGTGTGTGTGTGTGTGTGTGTACATAGTATAATTGTATTATTGCGTACACAAGAGTTAAAAATACTATCTACAACTTTGCTATTCCCTACAGGTATGTGATATCTCCTTGCTGACGGTGGACGCTCATAATTTGGATTCCAAAAGAAATTGCATACGTAGTGAAAGCCAAAGGTCCATCGTAGTAGCCCAAAGGAAATTTTGACAGCATTTTGGACAGGCAAAATGCAGAAAAGGTCATCTTGTATGCTTTTACAAACGTCAATGAGACAGGCAATGTCAACTCTGTTTGAAATGAGAGAACGAGCTCGAGAATGCTCTTTTCTTAGTCGTGACCATAACAGGCACGTAATATTCAAATCTTACACAATATGTCGGACTCTTGTTTATCAGTTATATAATAAATATATTTGGTACTCTATGTCATTTTTATAATCCAAGATAATTCAGCAACTGAAGATGGCACTTTACCTAAAACTCCGACAGAGTAAAAATGTGTACATATATATATATATATATATATATATATATATATATATATATATATATATATATAATTTATAGCTTTGTTACATTATATGCAGCACTATTTTATTGATAGTAGCACACAATTTGCGTTATTATATATATATATATATATATATATATATATATATATATATATATATATATATATATATATATATATATATAGAGAGAGAGAGAGAGAGAGAGAGAGATTCATTTCTGGAGTTCACTGCCACCAGCAAGCAGAAATTTCTTCTCCTGATGATGGTCATTTTGGCCGAAACTAATCGAGGAATCGAAATGAAATAAGACTAAGAAAACGAAAGAAAATTAATCTACAAACCAGTGTGTCTGAAGATTTGAATTTTTTAATAGTTTTTATTGTTCAATATATATATATATATATATATATATATATATATATAGAGAGAGAGAGAGAGAGAGAGAGAGAGAGAGAAAAGACCCTTACATAGAAAGAGTAACATAGATAGATAGATAGATAGATTGAAAATAACTGAGCATAGATAGATAGATAGATAGATAGATTGAATAAGAACTTAGCATAGATAGATAGATAGATAGATAGATAGATTGAAAAAGAACTTAGCATAGTTAGATATATAAAGAGCCTTACATAGATAGATAGATAGATAGATAGATAGATAGATAGATTGAAAATAACTGAGCATAGATAGATAGATAGATAGATAGATAGATTGAATAAGAACTTAGCATAGATAGATAGATAGATAGATAGATAGATAGATAGATAGATTGAAAAAGAACTGAGCATAGATAGATTTATTAAAGAGGGAACATGGGTTTACTGAAAGCTAAAGACATATAGATGTGTAGATATTTGTCCTTGTACGAATCAATAACTTCGTACGTGACGAGTGAACGGTTGTGAGAAAAATCTACTTTAGCATAAAAATCAAACGCAAAAAAAAAGAAGAAAAATGATGTCGAACTTTTAGCATCGTCAATAAAGACTTCGAGGTATGCACACAGTTCGTCAAGTTGAAATAGACTTTTGCAGACGAACAAGATGATGAGTTGCTGGAATTTGTCGAGCGGACATTACAGAAGTAATTCGTCACACCATTTTGATTCTATCCCAGACGGCGCCCCGCTGCGAAACTTGCATCTCATAAAGAAACGGGCGACTCTACATTTTATTCACCTTCTGAAAATGTTTGAAATGTGTTTCTACGCACAAATTACATACACACATACACCTAGATACATCTCGTACGATCAACCAGGTCCTTACCTACATGGTTTTCAGCAATGTTTTCAATATGTCGATATGCCAAAAAGTAAATCTATCTATCTATTTCTTTTCAGACATATGTCTATGTATTTAACTCTTTTTCATATCTATCTATCTATCTATCTATCTATCTATCTATCTATCTACCTACTCCTGTTCATATCTATCTATCTATTTCTTCTCAGATATATTTGTCTATGAATCTAACACTTTTTCATATCTATCTATCTATCTATCTATCTATCTATCTATCTATCTATCTACTCCTGTTCATATCTATCTATCTATTTCTTCTCAGATATATTTGTCTATGAATCTAACACTTTTTCATATCTATCTATCTATCTATCTATCTATCTATCTATCTATCTATCCTATTCATATCTATCTATCTATTTCTTCTCAGATATATTTGTCTATGAATATAACCTTTTCATATCTATCTATCTATCTATCTATCTATCTATCTATCTTTGTCTATCCTGTTCAATCTTCTCAGATATATTTGTCATGAATCTTTTTTTCATATCTATCTATCTATCTATCTATCTATCTATCTATCTATCTATCTATCTATCTACTCCTGTTCATATCTATCTATCTATTTCTTCTCATTATATTTGTCTATGAATCTAACACTTTTTCATATCTATCTATCTATCTATCTATCTATCTATCTATCTATCTATCTATCTATCTATCTATCTATTTACTCCTGTTCATATCTATCTATCTATTTCTTCTCAAATATATTGTGTATGAATCTAACTCTTTTTCATATCTATCTATCTATCTCTTTTCAGATCTATCTATGTATCTAACTCTTTTTCTTATATCTATCTATCTATCTATCTATCTATCTATCTATCTATCTATCTATCTATCTATCTATGCAACCCAGTCT